TTTTGACGAAGAGAAATGAGCAAACGAGTAGTCATTACGACAATATATCTGATAAAAAATAGATGGACACGTATAAAGTGTACCATCACTGTACCAATGTTCTTGTTGCGATAAATAAATCATATCGCTATAGGAGGAAAAAACCAGCGAACGAATACCACCAAGTGGCCCATCGTATAACAAAAAACATCTACATACACGATTTACTGTCCGTTGGTTATTTTTCAATTTTAATTGTTTTTTTTTACGAAAAAATATATATACTGTATATGTTCCCAATCAGCCGTTTTCTTGTCTGAGAATTTACTTCCGTGGATTATTTGGACAAAATGTGATAAAATTGAAAACATACTTCTTTTGTTAACAAAAATCTAACAACAAAATAGTACTGAAACTGCACCCCTACAGATGGTTTCAGAACGACTATTCTAGACCTAACACAATGATTGGTTTTAGTCAACGTATCTAACCTATAACATGCTGTCTATTTTTTATCAAATTGACCGAGAACTACGACTCGTAGTTCTCTGACCCTGAGGGTCGCACAGAAATATTTTTCTTTAGCTGATGAAGAGCTCAGGAGGAATCCCAAGAAGCCTTGACAGGGGCGCCGGAGCGTCATGAAACTAGGTGAGACTTTATGGAGAATTTATTGGTGAATTTAGTCAGATCAGATATATTGACAGAATTTAATGGAGTGTTCTGTCCAAAATTAAGTGAGGCTGAGCCTCAACTAGTAGAATTCATTCTACTTCATTTTTCATGGTGAAAGGTCCCGCCTAGTCAGATTTTTTTTATCACAGTAACGTTATTATCTATGCATCAAGATTATCATCGTTCATTGGTGAAATGACAAATTTACTATTCAATTCCGATATCCTTTTGAATACACTTACAAATGTTGTTAAAACAGTGTGTCGAAAACAGCAACAACAAACTGATGTTTTAACATCTGAAATGAAGCAAGTAAAAACACACCTGGTTGAAGTTCAGTTTCAAGTGAATGACCATCAGCAGTATAGTACTAATTATTTTCATCTATTACTTGTAAAAATGATATGAAAATTTCAAATATATCGTAAAGCCTAAATTTGATATCCAAGTTAATAATGATGTTAAAAGACAATAGACAACATTGTAATAAACGGTTAGTTCCCGTTTCGTCGAAAGCTTAATTAATATTTCTGTTTCGTTGAAGCATTTTTTTCTAGTGTTCCTGTTTCGTCGAAAAATAAAACTAGAACTAGAATATAGATTATTCTAATTAAAAGACTGTATTGAAAAGCCAGAAGAGAAATCTAGATAAGTTAAATCCGTTTATCATTAAAAGCACAATTATTTCAGGCGATTTTAATGCTGCCGTAACGGAGTGGGGTAACGCCAAAACCGATGGTAGAGGAAAAAGTATTAAAAAGTGGGGAGATCAAAATAACCTTTTGTTTATTCCGGGAACGTTCAATTCTTCTAGACGATCAGACAGAAATATTGACTTCACGTTTACAAATTTTCCCGGAATAAACGGAGAGACTCTCGTTTTTGGAATCAGTGACCACTGGCCAATTGTTTATAGGTCAGAACTTATTACCTTTACAACTGCAGATAGTTTTTCGCGTACGAAATGGAATTTCTTTGAGATTTTATTAGCGCTCCTGGTGCAATACCAGCTACTGGTACAATACCACCAAGAAAAAAGTCATTTGTGAATCGAAATGCACGATTACACGATTTAGAAAAGAACTGAAGAACTGTTCGAACTTTGATCAGACATTAGAGGTCTTTGATTTTGACACTCTCCGACTGCAAGCTAATCAGCGACCTCATATCAAACGATAGAATCTTCGTGTTTACGCCATTCGAACCGCCTTGAAACATAGAACAAAGTTATAGATTTAGTTTTTTAATTTTGGTTCTTCACTCTCGAAGACCCGGTTTCCTGGAAAACCAGTTTTCTGAAAACTTTAAAAGGCAATCAAAACCTTTTCTTAACGTAATATGATTGTAACCTGGAAATTTCTGATTAAAATGAAACGTCGTCCAGCTCTACATGACCTTTCTTTGCAAAGTTATAGAATTTACAAGAAAAGCCCTAAATGAATTTCTTCTTATTTCTGTAGATTTGCGCTGATAATGAACAATGGATTGATAATGAACAGTTGCATCAAGCTGTAGAAGGTGCTATGTATTCCTTTTAGTTTTTTTGCCAGACAAAGGACAAGCTAAAACGAACAAAAAATGTGACGCTGAGTTTCACGTTTTTCGATTCCTATCATTTTTGATTATCGAAGAGTTTCTTCGTCTCTATTAGGAGAGACAATTTTTGAGTGACACAAGTATAATGAAATTAAAATTTATGCTAGAGAGAAATATTTCATCATTCATTCATGTGCTGTATAACGGCAGATTTTTTAAAAAGGTGAGATAGGCCACGACTACTATCCATTTCAATGAACAATGCACTCGGATCGGAAGCAGCTAGATACCTTGCGGTTTTCAACATTCGAAAGAGAATAATATTTTTTATATAGAAATATCAAAAGCTGATTGGTTGACAATTGACCTATATTTCGAGGTTTTTTGGAATGATCCAAGGTCAGCTGGCCGAAAGCGGGGCTTTTGGGAACATGCTTACAGTTTCTGTATAGAACAAGCTGACGCAGATGTCACGACGTACATGACTGTTTTTAATTTCGAACACCAAAGCAATTGTTCAGATTGCGAACATGTTTTAGATGTTAAAGTCGTGCAACGTTCAGCACACCGCCCATCGAAACATGGAAAAGATGAACAATTATTCAATTTTTTCCAATAGCAAATTTTCTCATCATCTCCATCCGTACAGTCGTCGAGTCCGTCACAGAGTTGTTCATTATTAATACATGTTCCGTTTGAGTATCTAAAACGATCACCTAACATTCGACCATCGGAACAGGACACGGTATTACGCTCATCACGGCCGGCAATACAATCAATAGTATGATCACCGGCTCGTATGTACTGAACGCATGGTTTGTGATGAATTTGATCTGAGATGAACTCTTTCGTTATACAAAAATGTTCAGTTTTATCATCACATAGTTCTTCGAATATGAATCACGATTTATTGTTCATAATTGGACAATTTAACTCGTCGAATCCATTTGCACAGTCCCATTCATCATCACACACCCACTTTCGATTAATACATTGACCAGTGTTTTTACACTGAAAATCATCAGAACGACACACCCATTTAGAGCAATTTTGTTCGTCCAAACCATATTTCATATCCCACAACGAATTAGAGTACAGATGGAGAGATAGCTTGGCAGTCGATCCTTCGCCATTTTGTAACAATCGACATGCATAATTTGTTTATAAGTCACATTGAACAAGTTGCCAGTCAGTTATTGTTGACAACTCGTCGGAACCGTCCATGCAGTCGACCGACCCATCACCCAATTGTTGAATACTTACGTACTGAACAGGTACTTCAGATTCACAACGATAATGATACTTTTTACTAATAAAATATGTAATGTTGCTCAACTCATTATCCTTAAATAAACAATCATAGAATCCGTTATTGAGACGAGTTCGAGAAATTTTTTCATTCGAATGGCTGCACATGTAGCTAGTGGTAAAATCTATAGCTTGAATGTTGTTTTTAGGACCGTAGTGGAGATAATCAAAGGGAGGATACGGATATGTTTTTAGAAGAGTTCCATTGATACATCTTTGATTTTCTCTGTCCGTTAAGCAATATAAATGTGGCGTACGATTTCGAAGACTCATATTATAATATGTGTTTGTAAAACTTTCGATTATCAATGTTTTATTATACACAGTCGTTATATACGGTGAAATTAATGGATGTTTTGGATAATATATCAACGAATAACAATAAAGCGTAAAATTTTTATGTAAAGAAAGTTTGGTATTTCTACCATTCATTAGATTTGTAAGTGCGGTCAGACAACGATCATTTCTGTCATACGCGTTCAAGCCAACTATGCACGTTCCGTATAATGTTGTTGAATATGTGCCACTGATTCCACATCGAAAATGCTGATTTCTCAAATTTGTACATGATTTTTTATTATCGATTTACTTATACCAATAAATACATTGGCCATCACTACACAAAAATGCGTTTTTTGAACATAAACGCTCGTCGCAATCTATGCTTGCTGTAGTTGAACAAGTTGAAAATACCGATTGAACACTATTTTGTTCATCCGATGAGTCCATGCAGTCAGCTTTGGAGTCGAACACAAATTCTTGTAGTATGCACATTCCATTACGGTAACGAAACTCATTCTGGTCACATTGATTAAATTCTAGTAATTGGCAGTTCTGCTCGTCTTCTCCTTCACATTGTATTGTGCCATCGCATATGGAAATTATCCATGAACGACCTATGGACGGACACAGGGGTGGAATGACTTATAACGCGCAGTGATAGTGTAATTAGGGCTAACTCCTGTTTATAGGGCTTTGAGTAGGTTGATCGCTAGAGAACTCCAGTTTTTATCAGTTGTATACCATATCGCATAAAGTAAGGGTGCGAAAAAATTTCAACCTGAAACTCTAAAACCCCTCGGTTTTACACATATGAAATGCCCTGAAGTATTACTGCTTTCTCATGACAATCTTTTTTGTCGTAGTACCTAATACCAGTGTCACTTAGTTTTCTTGCTTTTTCTTCATTCTCTGTCTCAATCAATAGCTTCCTGCAATGTGTATGAAATAAATTAGATAATGTTAGTGTAAAAGTAAAAAGCAAAGTGAGCAGGGTGAGTGTTGAAAGTGAGCGTTATTGAAAGCCAACCTTCCGAACGATAAGCTTCCCCACTTAAAAGAATAAAATACGTAGAACCGAGCTTATTCATTTTACTTGCTTTTTGTTTTTAACAAACTGCAGACTTCTTTCATTTCTTTAATTCCATTTTGGATTTTTGGAATATACGGATGATCTGAAGAATTAATGTTTTCATATATTTTTAATGCTCTTATCAAGTTAATTAATGCTCGAATATAATTTTTTTATTAGATTGAGTTATAGCAACGCTAATATAGAAATCTGCAATATCTGTATCATCTGATGATAAGTATTTTAATTTAATAGATAATGCTTTTTTATAGTTAATTAATGCTTCACAGTAATTTTGAAGAACTTGTTGCACTATACCTATACGATAGTAGGTATTTGCAATACCAGTGTGATTTACCGGTAAACACGTTAATTGAATTGACAAGGCTTTTTTATAGTTGAACATTGCTAATTCATAATCTTTTCTTTCATGATGCACAGTGCCAATATTATACAGTATTTCAGCTATTGTATAATGAGTTAAACTATTTTCATACATCTCTAATGCTTTTTCACAGTAAGATAATGCTTCACTATAATTTTTAAATTGATTTTTATATAGCAAACCAATGATATTAGACGTACTAATAATCTGAGGAGCTGTTAATCCTATTGTTAATGCATTTTTATAATTGACCAAAGCTAATTCATAATTTTCCGTCAATAAGTGCACATATGCAATGCCCTGAAGTATTACTGCTTTCTCATGACAATGATTGTATGCTGAAAGTGAATGACTTTCATAGATCTCTAATGCTTTTTCATGATTAAATAATGCTTCACTATAATTTTGAGTTTCTACATGAACATTGGCAATACGACAGTAGACCTTAGCAAGATCGAGGATGATTTGACGGTAACAATGTCAATACTTTCTCATAGTTAATCATAGCTAATTTATAATCTTTTCTTTGAGAGTGCACAGTTCCAATCACAGTCAGTATTTTTCTTATCTCTGGATGATTTAAGGACAGTGAGACAGCTTCATAGATTTTTAATGCTTTCTCAAAGTTGATCCTAGCTAATTCCTGGTCATTACTCAAATCGTGCATAAGACCAATCGAAGACAGTATGTCAGCTATGTTGGATGGAATTTTGTGAAGAGAATTTACGTTTTCAAAACGTTCTTGATGTTGTTCACACTTAGAATTAGAATCAAATTCAAAGTGCATGCAGATAACTTAGTGGACAATTCTTATTCTATTCATTAGACTGAGATCTATAGGTAATAGTAAAAATGATTCTCTAATAACCTTTGTTCATCCATGCTTTGATAGCGAATTTTTCTAATCAGGACTGTTTTTATGGTTAAATTAAGCTGTTTAGAACTAGGCCAGCACCAATAAACTATATTGGACACTAATAATATTGAGTTTCGATATTATTGTAGATCAAATATGTTGGGTGACCAAAACTATTGAGTTCCAATATTATTCGGTATCCAATAATATTGTATAATAACATTGGGTTCCACAATACACTGGATTCAAACTTTTTAACCTTCATATTATTTACATTCATAAAAGTAGGCCCAACTCCAGCGATCTGGATCTGTACAAATAACTGCAAAATCAATGAAATAAGCTGACACTTAAAAACAGCTAAGTGTCACTTTAAGTGACAAAGTGACACTCTAAGTGATGAAGTGTCACTCAACGTGAGAGACACTTCGAAGTATGTGCAGCAAAATTGAAGGTTATTTCCCCCTGGATTTTCAGTCGTTCGTTCGTACCATGTACACTACAAGAGACTAATTTTCACCAGGATTAAAAATAAGTGAATCAGCTACTGAACTACGTATCACTGATTAAATAGTTGGCCATTTGAATTGAAAATTTTGTGAAATTGTTGTTGAAAATTTTCTCACAAAACGAAAACGGATACCATACGGTTCTGTGATAAAAACTGTAACCTCGAATTAAAATAGTACACATTTTCTAAAGTACACATGTATGTATTTAATAGTATGCTGTTACGAACAAAATGATTGTATTAAACTTTTTACGATGTCGGACTGTTGATCAAGATTAAAATCAAAATTTGTTTATAGAAATTTATTTGAACTAATTTACAAATCGAAATTAATAGAAATTAATTTTGTTTAAAGCATTTCAAAGAAATTTGAGTCTATAAATTAATTTAAACTGATTTCCAGTACCAAGTTAATGTATATTACTTTTCTTTAAACCAATCTAAATGGATTTGTTAATCGAAATTAATTTAAATCAATTTTCAATCAAAACTTCGTTCTAACCGATTTTTTATTAATCTGCATCAATTTGGTATTGAAAATTAGTTTAAATTAATTTATAGACTCAAATTTCTTTGAAGTGCTTTAAACGAAATAAATTTCTATTAATTTCTGTTCGTAAATTAATTTAAATCAATTTGTAATAACTAATTCATTTAAATTGATTTAGAAAGCATTTGCTAAAATTAATTTCAAATCCAACATTAAATCGATTTATTTCTAAATTGAGTTAAAGGAATTTGGAAAAACATCAATTCAAATTAGTGCAGAGTTTTCGAATTAATGTAAACTAATTTGAAACTCGAAATTCATGTCACTTAATTTAATATGAGACTTTGTGTAATGCGGTCACGAGAGAAATTAATTTTTTCAGGAAAAAATCAATTGAAATTAATTCAAGTTTTCTTCCCTGTTTGAATTAATTTGCATTAGTTTGAATTAAATTTTATGATTTGTTGTTATATTTATTCAAAGATTTAAATTGATGCGCAGTAATTTTGAACGCAAAAAGGTTTTTTAAATTAATGTGAACGACTTTCCTTTTAAATTTGTTCAAATTCCTGTAAATTTCGAAATTAGTTTGCATTAATTTGAAAGTATTTAGTAACTATCTCTTTTCCTAGTTTATCCGAAGACTACTTAAGATCATATTGCTGCGGTGCGTACCAAATAGAACAAGGCATTAGTTATGCTAAAAGTCATCTTGAAGAAGATGGTTGCTTCAAATCAGATGTATTCCCAAAAAAACAAGATCTGATACGTTGTCGTATACATAGGACAAGCACTGAGCTCATTTTGAATAAATCCACGCTGTTTTGTACACAATTTAATGGAGAATTTATTAGTGAAAACCGTTTGTCAATACCTTTTTTCGTCGTTAAGTTATAACATTTTTAATTGGCATTACTCCATGTTAGAGACCTTGTCGGAAAAAATTGATTTTCTCACCAAAGACAAGCGACTCTTGAGAATCGAGAACAGATTGCGGATGTGTCCAACAATACTCTACCTATCTATGATAAAATAGTTTAATTTTGAAAGGGGCGGATTTCCCATGAAAATCCGACGGGGTCCCTTCAATAAATTTTAAAAAAGACTGGGAACATAACTTGAATATTTTTATGTTTATGAACATGAATGTTCTCTATGGTATCGTCCCGATTCGTCGACAAATCGGACACTTCAAAGAATATACATCAAAGAATTTCAAAGGCGGGAGGGGCGGTGTGAGAGTGAGTGTCGACGAATCGGGACTGAATCTTCTCTATAGGTTAAAATAAATCATCAATCTGTTTCCTCGCTATCAAATCAACTTTCATATTAAGCTCATAAGGGCTTTCTATGTCAGTTTGAAGTACACAAGATATACTATACGCCGAGCCATTTTTTTAGAAAAGGCTACAGTCTACTTTATGAGATACAGGGCTGTCAATAACAGAGCTGAATATGAGACATAGATGCACTTTCTCTGCCAATTAACAAGCGAAATCATTTGTTAAGAGTTCTTGACTAGCATGACTTTCCGGCTTTCTCTTCGGGTCATGGTAGTCTGAATTCTGCATCGTTTATGTCCTCTGAGTTATGTAAACGTAAAATAATCGTGCACATCCTATATACTGCAAATAAACGCTTAAAAGAAAAAACAACTACTAGCTAGTATAATACAACAAGAGAGAAGAATTACTTTCTTACTTGTGCGTGAAATTAAAGACAATAGTGCATTTAAAATGATTTCATCGAGCCAAAGTGTTTTCTTCTCTCTTCTTTTAATTATCTGATCTGTTCTTTGATTATGTTTGTTTAGCACGATTGTACAGTCTCTATTAATTTTAATTGCTCGGATAAAAATATCACCAAAATAAAATAAAGAAGTTTTCCAGTGTTCATTTAAATGAACAGTAAGATTATACATAGATGCACCTAAGAAAAAGAGAATAAAGAAACAACTAAGAAAAAGGGAAAAGACATAGAAGATCGACCTGTAAACAAACCTAAACCTTTTTCGAAGATCCTCTCTGGATCAGCTAGCATTAGAACTTTGTGCTTATCAATCATTTTCCACCGGCACCCAACTGCAAATCATAAAAAAAACAAAAGCTCGAATAGTACGAGGGTTAATTAATAACTGCTGCTCTTTAGCAACTGTCTTGTTTAACTTCAGAACAGCATTTATATAGATGAGAATGAATAAGTATATTGCCGAGATAAAAAGCACTGGTTAGTCACCCAGTAAAAAATGTCCCGATTGTCACCATATTATTTAACAAAGAATTTTCCAAGAGATAATCATTGTTCACGAAGTGATAGACACTACCTTATATGTTCGAATCCGCCAACAATAGACACCAAATCAGATCGCATAAGTAAAATTGTTCAGCCGGGATTGAGAAACAACTGAGAAAAAGAGAAAAGACATAGAAAATCGACCTGTAAACGAACCTAAACCTTTTCGAAGATCCTCTCTGGATCAGCTAGCATTAGAATTTTGTGCTTATCAATCATTTTCCACTGACACCCAACTGCAAATCATAAAAGAAAACAAAAGTTCGTTAGAATCATCCTAAAGTACTGTTCACGAAAGCATTTTCTATACATTCTCCCTATAAGATGTTGTTTACATGCTGCTAATTTTATCCACTATAAATGCGTTAGAAAACTACGAACATGCGGTGTTGTAAACGGGCGACATCTACCTAAAACCGAAAACGATTGTCTTTATATCTTTTGCTTCTTTACTTTTCTTCGTCTACTCCAGCATCAGTCTGGCTTTATCCTGTTTTATACACTTGCATTAGTGTGTTACTCTTCTGAAATTGATACATCCATAATTTATCAGAAGGTCATTACTTTATGTTTGACGTACACACGCATACACTGACCGACAACTGCTTTGTATAACCTAATGCTAGACTAAAATTAAGAGAACAATGGATGCGCGTGTTTAATTGACTTTCAATTGTTCATCTTGGTTTGAGGGACAACACCATTTAGTTTTAGGGTTTACTTGGGCACAATCCTTGGTTTTAGAGGAAAAATCTATTTAATACTGTCTATGGACAACTTTTTTGGAATCATTGTACTTACTGGTGCATCTATGTATAATCTTACTGTTCATTTAAATGAACACTGGAAAACTTCTTTATTTTATTTTGGTGATATTTTTATCCGAGCAATTAAAATTAATAGAGACTGTACAATCGTGCTAAACAAACATAATCAAAGAACAGATCAGATAATTAAAAGAAGAGAGAAGAAAACACTTTGGCTCGATGAAATCATTTTAAATGCACTATTGTCTTTAATTTCACGCACAAGTAAGAAAGTAATTCTTCTCTCTTGTTGTATTATACTAGCTAGTAATTTCACATATTCATCCAGTGAATTTTATCCGAGCAGAATTATTTTTCATTGCATCAGTGTCACTATGGTGGATACACTTTGACCACAGTCCACATACCAGTTGTATATTAAATTAATCATTTCAGAATTCTTGAAACATGTTGACAAGATTTATCGTGACAGATTCTGATACAAAAATTGTGGAAAATCTCCACCCAGGTGGAAGACGTCTTACAAGATCTCATGATTTCTTATGCAATCTTGCTACAAGATCTTTTGGCAAGATCATGTATGATCTTGTAACTTCTTGTTGTAAGATTTTACAAGATCAGCTTATAAGAAATCTTAAGATCTTGTAACAAGAAGTTATATGATCTTGCAAGATCTTGTCAGTTCTTATACCAAGATTATGCGATTTCTTGCTACAAGATACAAGAAGCGATGACTCTTACAAGAAGCGATGACTCTTTACCCCATAAATTTTGCCACGATATATAGTATATATAAAGCATAGTTTTTATGATGAAACTCAGAATTTTTTCTTTCTCCAACTGCACAGCTGAGCACAAATAAAGTGCATGGCTATAAGATAAAGTGGTTAAACTCGTTCCTAAGGACGTCAGAGCCCTTCCTATGCTCGAAAATATTATGAAAAGAAAATATGTTTCCAGTCTTTTTTAAAATTTATTGAAATTTGTCCTATAGTAGTTAGTTTTATGTACAAGATTTCACAAGAATCTTGGTTCAAGAATCTTATAACACTTCATAAGATTGTTCTTATAGCAAGATCTGGCGATAAGATCTTGAAAGATTTCATCAGATCATATAAGAATTCATCAGATCTTACAAGATTATGTCTCTGATTCTGTCCTATAGATCCCTACAGACCCTCTTTAAAAAACAGCCTTTTTATTTTCATAATATTTTCGAGCATAGGAAGGGCTCTGACGTCCG